AAATAAATGGTAATGAGAGTTTAAAATGCAGAGGACCACACAGGAGTGATATGAAAAATTCAGGAGGATGTGGATTTTGGCTAAGGGCCTCCATGTTGCCTCAGGGTGTGTATAATGAAGAATATTAACATAACTGTACGTGATTTTATATTTTAGGTTTTTGTTTAAATGTAATATTCTTCTGCTGTGTGGTTCCATCACATTTGGAAGAATCACTGTTTCTGTTTTAACCCCATGTGGAACTAGAGTCAAGATTATTTTAATTTAGATTTTATTTTTTTAATCTTATCTTATTTTCGCACATTATTTTGGTCATATCACTAATACCAAGAGGACTGTAGAGCAGTATAAGTATAACCTGAAGAGAAAGAAGTAAGTAGGACTTGTAATTAGACCTGTGACAACAACATAGTTTGCTGGACAATATATTGTCCCTCAAATTATTGGGTGGATGACTGTGGGTTGACTCCTCTCATTCCACTACGGAACAAACACACCCAGGTGTTAAAACCAATGCTGAGTCAACCCTCTTGTTATCCAGTCTGTTTGGAGGTTAGAGATGAGGAAAACAAACGCATGGAAATATATTGAGCCCAGCAAAATTATCATGCGATTAATACAAACTTTTTTTATTGTATTTTATTATCTGAAACACAGTGCAGTTTTGCTTTTTAAATTTGTATTCAAAAACCAAATCGGTAACATTATTGCATTTGGAAATACTGTATATTGTTTTTGCTTCAGTACAACTGTAGACCCACAGGGGGCGCTTTTGGTTGACTTGACAGTCTGTAATACATTGTGAAGGAGCGCAGAAAAGACAATATTATGGTTTGATTCTCTGTCAGCTGTGGGATTGAGAAGTCCCCACCCTGAAGAGTTACACTTGAACTCTGCTTTGCTTTTGCTCACAAAATGCAAACTTTTCTACAAGAACATTTCGTTTACCTCAATTAAAAACTTAACAACTAATTTTTTTTTTCTTTTCCCCCTATTTAATGAAGCTCTCCAGCGGCTTACCTGTACATGAAAACTGCAACTGAGTCAAGCACTGTAAATAAAATATTTTAATAGTTCTGCGTGGCCAGATACCAAATAATTTATGACTGAGAGCAAAATTATTTTTCAAAAAATAATATTAACTAAAATATATCAATATGTATATATTGATAAATACATATTCTTCTTCTAGATGTGAACATTTCCGTGCACTGCTTAATGAAACAGACGAGGACGCCATAGAAATCGACCAGTTCTCATATCTGGTGTACAGAGCTTTTCTTGAATATCTGTACACAGACACAATTAACCTGCCACCAGAGGATGCTGTTGGTAAGTTCTTAAAGTCCTTACATTGACAAATGTGGTGTAGACAGTTGTGTGTCACTGTGAGGTTGAAAATTTAGTTTGTAGTTATGAGCAGAATTTGGGTCAAATTACAGCTAAAGATTAGGATTAAGATTAGGCATATAATTGTAGGACAAGGAATGCCTTATGTCTACGTGAAGTACCTACAAAAACCTGTGTGTGTGTGTGTGTGTGTGTGTAGGGCTGCTGGACTTGGCAACATTCTACAGAGAGACGAGATTGAAGAGGTTGTGCCAGGAAACTATCAAAAGAGGCATTTCTGAGGAGAATGCCATCACGCTGCTCTCTGCTGCTGTCAAGTATGAGGCCAGGGTAAGTATTAGTACTGACAACACTCAGTCTTTCCATTTCTTTATGTCAGGCAATAGAACAGTGCCTAGCCCAACGGTATACAGTCAGAAAGCCAGAAAACAATATACATTAAACATAGGGATGTTTTTAATCAGTCCAAAACTGTGTTGCCTGCACTTAATGGCCTCATCAAATTAACATTTAATTAATACACGTGCCATGCCCTGGTAATTTTTGTGTTTTCATTGACTAGAGCGCCTGTTATCATTATTAGGACCTTGAGGAGTTCTGCTTCAAGTTTTGCGTCAACCACCTAACCGCTGTCACGCAGACGCAGGCTTTTGCCGAAATGGACCACAACCTGCTCAAGAACTTCATCAGCAAAGCCAGTCGCTATGGGGCCTTTAAGAACTGACTATAGAAGCCCCCGTGGTGTTGAGTGCGACCAAGGTGCCGACCCCCAGACCAAAGTAAACACAAGGCTGATCACTACTTCAAAGTTTTGTCACCTGGGACGTAAACGTAAACACTGGAGAGACGAAAGATATAGGGTTTCTCCCACTAACTGATGCCTCTGTGTTTCTGCCCTGAAGTCGACCAATCGGAGGGGTCACCTGATGGGTCAATAAATACTGCACTAGACAATCAATCACGAGAAAAACGTCATGGGGGCTCAGGTATGTGCCACGCTGGGGTCGTCCTGTTGTCATTTCTGTTATTGATGAAGTGACGACTGACTGTGGCGCTGATCTGTCCGAGGGTTTTTTTGTTTGTGAAATTATGTGTTGCAATGGTTTTTCTCACGGCAGCAAACACCTCTTGAACTGCAAGCCTGACTGCAAAAGTAATCACTGGTTTGGGTGTTGACCTTTATTATGGTTTCAGGAGCATTTCCACATCTGAGCAACAGCCCTAACACATGACCGTTCTGCTTCTGAGACATTAAGAATTTCTGGGGGCGTAGAATGTGATCGTCAGCTGGATCATCCACTATGAGCCTGGAGATGTGGGTGATGTTGTGGGGCAGTCGGGTCAAAGTCACGCCTAATTTCAGCAGTTAGTCACATACAGTGTCCACTTTATCTTCTCTGTCCAGTCATCTTTTTTAAGAAGTGAGGATCAGTAGTCTGTGTTTTATTGGACATGTCACAAGAGTGGAGTAAAGACATGTAGGAAGTGATGTGAGAATTTTATTTTTAAACATAATCAGACTGCTAGTGTTTGTTTCTGTGCCCTCTTCGTCATAGACACACTCATACTTTCCATTACAGCCTAAATAATCTGCAGTAGTACGTCTTGGGCACCAAAGGCATCAATGAAAAAAAAAACAAAAACATGTGGGTGCATGTCAGAATCACAATAACTATTAATCATTGCAGCCTTACGGGGCTGAGAACATGTCACATCTGTAACTACTTTGTCAAAACAAATCCAAAAATGTCTTTGCATAGTTTCCTGTCTTGGATTTGCAAACCATGTCTAACATATCGGGTCAGCTAGGAAATGAGTTATGATTACTTGGTATGTAGGCTTTATAAAGTTATATAAAATAGCAATGTCAAATTGTGATTTAAATCTGTTACTTCTCACCAAAGACCATAGAGAACATCTGCACTTTAAGCTGTTGTGGACACAAAAGTTGAAGGTCCACTGCTGGTTTGATTGGCAACTGTCCACTCCCTACTCATATCAGAAGTAAGGATTTGCAGTGCTGAAATTAAAAGATAACACTTTTGAACCTACTGGTGGAGGATGCAGTGGATCAACAGCTTCTTTGTGCAATGATGTCAAATCCCTTATTTCCTGAGTGGACTTCAGTGCCGAGAAAAAGAAAAGGTTGTCTCAAAATGAAGAAGACGAGAGGCTACAGTCACTTCTTCTCTCTCTGTTTGATGAGACATGTTGAGAGCAAGTGTGAAGGTTTAACTGGGATCACAGGAGTGTTGTTGATGTTTGGGTGGGGGCGGGGGGCTTGAACTATTCCTTTAACTATTCCTGGGTAGTTTGTTCTATTGTGCACATGATGACTGATCAGTGGTGACAGGAGGTGATTAGAAATTTACAAGTCAACATTGCATGACCTTTGACATTGTGCTGCTTTCTTGACCCTCAAACCCTCCACTGAAATATTTGGCAGAGACAAAAACAAACAAGCAATCTCAGTTAAGTCTACATCTACACAACAGTATTCTTTTACATTTGTAATAATTCTTACTAACGACCTAATTACTACTAACGAAAGACCACACAACAGCATAATCTCAGAGGTTAAAAAAAAAACCCAAAGCTTTAATATAAAAACCCACACGACTTTATCCTCAAGGTCAGAGTACTGCTAATGGCAGAAAAGTGAAAACATGTTCATCCAAGACTAAATATGTTTTATTTTTGGTCAGCATTGTTAATCAGAATCTGTTACACTGTGCTTTCACCTCTTCCTGTGCTCAAAACGTCATTACATGTGCAATGAAACATCAACCAGTTCATCACAAGACCATTGAAGTGCATCTTTTACCGAGTTATGGTAAAAGTTGAGCTAATAAAATGTTGAACCACTGTTTATTGAGTCAGTCACATACAGTAATTCTGTTTTTGTTGCCCACTCCTGACTGTATTCAACATTTACAGATTAGTGCAAACTCTCATACTCCCCTGAACGCCATCAGCTGGTTTATTAAGGGCGAGCTACACCAGTGCTCTCTGGTGTAGCTCGCCCTCAGGACATATGAACACTTCAGTCTGTGATGAACCAAATGTTTACGTTTTTTGTTTATTTACTCTGACATAGCTTGATGTCCTAGAACAAAGAACAGTTCTTTGTGTGGAAGCTTGCAATGATTTCTGCCATTTTTTATTTGTTTTAAAGTAAAGTTTCTAAGAAGCATCCTAAGGGTGTTGTAGCCTCGGGTACAATATGTTACACCTACTGCATGTTTACTTTAGTTTAGGTAAATGTTGCTGTGAAATTTGTGTGACTTTTAGACTGTGTGTAACAATGGATGAAGGCGACGTGAGCCAATGAAAACATCTGGAAACAGTAGTTTTGCTGGAGGTATACAGAGGTGAAGAATAGAAACTGCTCCAAACAAATACTCACTGACTTAAATATTTATCCTAAAGACCTCTATTGTTAAAAAAAAAAAAAATCACCCAATTTCTCTGAATTGGCCCAGAAACTATTACTTATACACTGCTAATATTTTTTTCTTAGGTCATCAATATGACACTGACAGACAGAACAATTAAATACTATTTTACTAGGTGGCAGCAAATGGCTTAATACCTAATTAAAGAGAGAAACTCAGGAGTGTTACCTTTGTATGTCTTTCTTTAATTCCTGTGACTATTTCAGAATGATGTTCTGATGTCAAAGATTGTGCTACGGCTCTTGAAAATTCTGGGAAACGGTGAAGGTGTCTGTGGTAAAGTATTCATGTCTCTGTGTATCCTCTCTTGTTGCCACAGCTTTGCTTCACAACAGTTTATGTTTACAAAGTAAATGTTTGTTATTTTGAAATTCTTATTTTTTTTTTGTATCTTTATAATTCCACTTTTAGGTTTTTTGGGCTTAAATATCTTAAGGGTTAGCTTTTGAAAATGCCCAAAGAGCCTTGGAATAAAAATACTGAAGTCCACTCAGCAGAACACATCGGTTTTATACTGAAGTCCACTCAGCAGAACACATTTTTTAGAACTTTTAAGAAGTTGATCATGTGTTTGTTTTTATTCATGTTTTTGTTAAACAGATGTGTAGATCGTGGCTCTTGTGTTCTTCATTATCCAAACATGTAATGAGTAATAAAACAACCTCTGTAAATTGTGATTGTCTCTGTGATGTTTTTTGTTTTGTTTTTTCCAATATGCAGCTATTTTTATTTTAGATTATTTTATATATCTGCAAGGCAAAATGCTAACCTGCACCCAATACAAAAATGAAGACTGAAGACCACAGCTCATGTCTGTCACCAAGAAAATCAGAAAAGCCCAAAAGTATTTGGAGAAAAAGAAAACCTGGAAGAACTTGAGAGATAACCTAAGGAAGAATGTGTTGGGATATGTCAGGACACATGCTGCAACACTGCTTTATTCTGGATTGTGTAATTATTTTGTATGCAAGTTAAAATACTTGGGGAAAAAACTATGTTTAAAAAACTATATGTTTATTTAAATTTGTTTCCTAACTTATGGAGGCTTTGTCTAATTCTTTCTTCTTTTAATCTGTAACTGTCAAATTATCTTTACTCCTTTAATACTTTAGTAGCACATAATAAACAACTTTTACAGTAATATTTCCTATTCAAAAACTAAATTGACTTGTGAACGATGGAAGCCTAGCTAAACAAGTGTTTGTTTCCCTATTAAAATAATAGGTCGCCATCATGTGAAATGACTGATATAACATTTTGAAGAACATTTCATCTGAGCTCTTGCTTATTTGTTTTTTATTTTATTATTTGCTTATGCCTTTTTGCAGTTTTAGGAAGTAAAAGTGAAGTATTGAGGAACAACAGATAAGTACAGTAAGAGCAAAAGGCAGAAGTATAATCACAATACAAACCAATTATATCATTTGGACAGGTTTGGCGGTTTCTCAAGGTGAGCTCCTGTTATGTAAAGAGATAAATACAATAAACTCACTTCATGACTGAACAGTGGCCTCAGATCTAACAGAAACTGTTTCTTCATCAACTTTTATTTCCTATCCACTGCTCTCCATGCACTCCAATCCACATACACTGTTTGTTATTGTGGTTTTCAAACCTCTCATCATACCACTGTCTGCAGTCTGATGCTTCCTGTGTCAACCTTTAACACAACTGTGATCATGTCACAAACAGGAAGACACAAAAAGAGAGAAAGACAATTGTTTTAAGAAATGTTACTCTTACAATCTCATCATGCCTGAGTTACTTGATTAAGTAGAGTGCAGTGTGAAGTGTATTGAGGCTATAACTGAAGCAAAGGAATCTTGACTTAACCCAGTACTTCCCAAATAGTGGGGCGAGCCCCTCTGCAGGGTCGCAGTGAGGGTCTACCAATGGAATATGGCACACTGGACATAAGTGTACCACTGCTGTAATGCTTGAATGATAACAAGCCTCCAGTCACTAGGTGGCAGCAACTCATACAGTGGTTTGTACAGATATAAATATACATGTTATCAGGTTCTCAATAGTATTATAATCCGTGGGAGTGTGGGTCGGAAGGGGAGGATGGGGGGGTGCGTGAAAACATTTCTGTCCCCAAAGGAGGGCATAACAAAAAATAATTGAGGACCACTGACTTAACCCGACCAGACCGGACAGAACTGGACTGGACTGGAACTGACCTGACCTCATTGGGAGTCTTCCATTCTTGTCTCGACCATTTACACTTTTGTGATAGATATCTATCTAGTGTAAAGAGAGGAAAATTAAAAAAAAAAAAAGTAATTTATTGTGTATTTTGTTTTAAAATTGCTTGAAAATAAAAAGCTGTGAACAGGTCTCTAGAACACCTGTTAATATTATATTATTAGACATACTGTAGTGACGCAGCGCCACTACACTATTAACTGACACACATACACTGGTTAAACAGTTACATGAGGAAGTGTACACAGCTGCCAACGGTAACTGCACCTGTGCCGACCTGCCCTTCTCACCACCCTGGCACAATGGTCGGACACTGTTGCCGCCATCTTGAATCACCACTCCAGCCCACAGTGGAGAAACTGTTACTGTTTATTTACCCAGAACCACTACTGCAGCAATAGATTTGACTAACCATATAACACGAAATGGGAACTTATCATTGTCACTTTCAAGATTAGTGGTTTTGTGTTTCATTAACATCAACTTAGAAAGAGAATAGAAGGACGTATTTGCCATTTTTGAAAAAAAAAAGTAGAATTTTTATTTTGTTGTTTTTAACACACATTGAGCAAAAAAAAAAAACAATAATGTAGATTTCAAGGTCAAAAGGTGTCAGTAAACAGACCTGCCATTTTCTAAAAGACAATAGTGTATCCAGTGGGCCTTAATAATGGATACATTTGGTTACATTTTATGGAAATAGATAATACTCAAAAAATATGTCAAAAAATAGACAGACACAAGTCAAAACAACCAGCTTAGCCACTATTAAATAATGTAGACCAGGGGTGGCCACCAGCCACCTATACATGGGAACATGTGAACTGCCCCCATCCCTTTAAAAAAATAAAATAAAACACTATTTGAAAACGTCCTGTGTACATCTTTTCATCTTTGCGAACTGGGTTTCCCCTGAGTATTTTGCATCATGCCCATCGGTTTGACATTCACATTGCATTAAAAAAAACCTTTGTGGGTTTTTTTAATGCAATGTGAATGTCAAAATTCGACATGAACGTAAGAGCTGCATGAAACCGGGCAAAGAGCCGCAGGTTGGCCATGCCTGATGTAGACCATCAAATGACTGAAGGCTAGTCGAATGTTTGTTAATTGGGTTGGAGAGAGAAGAACATCCTGCTGCCTTGTCCACAAATGATGGTACAACAGTACAAATATATATATATATATAAAACTGAAATAAAATCCAAAAAAAGAAATGAAAAATGAAAGAAACTCAGAAACCACTAATGTTGTGTGATCAAGTGTGATCAAAATACCCTCTAAAAAACAAAGTTCAAACATTTCCACATCGTCAAAACCACAAAAAAAATCATACCCAGCTCCGCTGCTGCCCCCCTCCCCGACCCCCCTCATCTGCTGTTGCTCGTGCTGTGATCTACCAGTCAGTGTTTCCTAGAACAGGGCAGAGCGCTGAACCACAGACCTGCAGCACAACAGCTGCTGGTTGCAGCGTGATCATTTTGTGTTTGTTTGCCCCATGAACTTCAAAGATTTGTATTTTTTATTTGCTTATATTTTTTCAGCCGTGTTTTACTTTCATTTACTTTTTATTAAGAGAAGGAAAAGTGTTTTCAGTCCACATTCCTTTAACTAGAACAGTGGGCCAGACATGTGAGAAACAGACTCTGCTGTGGGTCCTTGGGTTGCTGTGTTCTGCCCACGCCGCCTTATCAACGCGGAGGCCTTTTGACTAATGTCTAAAACAAACACCCCACCCCCCATCACACCCCCCCACTCAATGAGCCATGACCCTCCCTGCTGCAGCAGTGACTGAACGCACTTAACGTCTGAAAGGCTTTGAAGGCTGCTTTTATCACCTCTGGGGCCACTTGTCCTTGAAACGTTTTGTTTTGAAAATTACCTCACCAGTCTGTGCAATTGAAAAGGAAGATTGATCAAATCCTTGTTACAAATCAACAAAGGGTTTTTTGCCTCCTGGGTTAAAGTATTATGGAGTTATAAAAGAGTGAACATGAGATGGAAATTAGCAGTAATTTGGCTAACCCTTAGCCTTTGTTTTTAACTTTTGACACAGTCATTAGAGTTTTAAATAGTACATATGATATAATTATTATTATCATTATTATTATTATTTTCATTATTTATTAATAATAATAATAAATGCCAAACATTGTCAAAATGTGGTTATTATTGTTATTATTATTGTTGTTGTTAATAATAATAACAATAATCCCTGATGTTAACTGGTCTTTTTATTCCACGACTACATTTTTAAAAATGGCAGACCACAATGAATATGGGAAATTCCAGCTTCGTTTCATACGGCTGTGATCATCACAACCTGGTGCCAAACTCATAACACTGTAGCTTTACAGCCTGACTGAGGTCATTTCTTGTTATGATCAGTTTTCTACGTTGTCCCTCCTTCCATGTGACCGTTGTGCCTGTGGATTCATGGAGTCTTGTTTCCAACACTAAAGACAACAATGCATTTGTATGCAGTCATTTTAATATTGATTTTTTTTCCCATTATTTTTCTCTGAACACCCTGGACATGGGTACTTACTCTATGTACGGTATGTGCTTTACGTTTTACGGTGAAAATCAGATTACGTTGCACTGTGGGAACAGAACTGCAACCCTTTGTATGCTGTACAGTCCATGTGTTCAAATTTGTAATCTGATTAATTACACTTTAATTTTGTTGTTGATTTTGCCATTCTCAGATATGTGCTCTGCTCTATGAAAAAGACAACAGAGAGAATTTAAATGTTCATTTTCCCCTGCGTTTCTGCTCATCTCGGACCGTGATGGTGACTGATCTC